TTTATCTTTATTATACGATCAATAATGAATGCCATGTATGGCCATTAGAAGTCTATTGGCCATTTGCATTAATGTTTTTTGGGATATTCATTCTTTATTTATACATTTTACGAAAATTATTTGTTAAAGAGAAAAAGGTAAACATGGTTTTGCAATCAATTGTCAGAGCGTAGACGTACGGTTTATATATGAAACTCTTTGTTATACAGTTAATTAGGAAGCCAGACGATTGGAAAGTACTTCTCTTATCTGCAGTAATGTGAAAGTTGAAAAAATATATTTCCCCGATTATCGCTATTATAGTGTTTACTGGAATGAGGGGCAAAATACCAGAGCCTATTGCTCTGAAAGATCCGCATTGTCGATAAGTGTCCTATAGCATACAATACACGGCGAGGAGACAAATATGATCGAGCATGAGCGGATTCCTATCAACACTAATGACTAAAGGAAATTTCATTCTGAAATAAGCCGGTACATGGATATTGACTGTTTTTATCTACACTGGATTATTCAGGAGAATTTATGTTCATTGATCTTTTGCGGGAACCAAACGCAGGGATAAGCCGTTAGGGAAATAAACTCAAGGCTAACTTATTTCTACAAGGATGGTCTGTCATCGATCATCGAATTGAAATAAGAGTGAGCGGTACTTACACGGTTTCTTACATTTTTTCTCTAATGAAACTTTTATTTTAAATTTCATTTGAATTTTATAGGATAGTCGTTTCACAATTATTCATCAAAATGTTTACTTGAAGCTAATGGTAACTCAGTTGGATGAAAATGTAAAAGAAAAAAAACAGTCATCTAAATATAAACAATGCAAAAATGTTTTAAAAATCATTGGTGGAATTCTTGTTGGTTTAATTATATTTCTTCATGCATCTATACCATCTATATCAAGAAAGTTTTTTCCATTAATTGCATATTCTGCCAATTATTCTTGTCCATGGTATGTTCAATCAATCAAATATTCTTATATGTCAATTGGTGGATTATTTTATGCTGCATTTGTGGGAATGATTGTCGATTCAATCATTAAGTATGATCGACTTTACACGAAATTAAACATTGTAAAATTAGATGCCAAAAAGTATTATTATGATGTTGAATCGAATAATGATTTAAATTTACTGTCTGAAAAAGGCTTGGGTAATTTCCTAATTCTAATACGATTCTTTCTTGGAAATATACAAGAAAACGACAAACGCCACGATCTTCGGTTAATGACTATTACATTTGCCTTTATTATCGATTTAAATCTTAGCGTAATGGCATTAATACGAATATTATTATATGATAATATCACCCTAAATCATTTATTAACAATATATTCATTAGCTGATATAAGTACATTATCAATATTTGTAATATTATTCTTAATTATCGTTTCAAGAATTAATCATAAAACGACCTACTGTGTTCTAAAACTATTGAAAGAACTCAAACGTGAAGGTACGAATCAAATATTACGAATAGAAAAACGGACGAAAAAGGAAAGTAAGAAAGAAGATCGTCAAATGGGAAGATGTGATATTGAATTATTACAAGTTGATAATGAATATTTGTCAGATACGATTGAGTATTTCGAAAGTGCTAAGAATAAATACTCCATTACATTATTTGGTCAGATTATCGATAAATCCTTGGTTACGAAAGTGGTTATATCATTACTTGGTACTGCTGGTTCAGCCATTTTTGGATTAATCGTAAAAGAAATATCTACAAACTTGCACAAATAGCACTTTAATACTATTTTGACTTCACCTCATGATTTTTGTAGCTAATGTACAATTAACAGTTCTGAAAGTAAATGTATCATATTGACTACGTGGAGCAGGGTGCCGATAGTGAGATGAATTAGCACGGTGTATATGGAAGGTTATTTGATGGTATATTCCCATTATATTATTCTGAAACTTAAACTGTGTGTTGAAGAAGAAAAAAGTGAAAAACAGGCTCCCGTCATTGCCTACAGAGATAAAATGTAATTATGACTGTCTAATAATTATAAGAAAGCAAACATTCATAAAAGAAAAGAGTCACGAAGCCAAATTTTTGGACGAGCTTCCGTTGTGAATATATAATGATTAGCACCCTGTTTGTTCAAATAATTGTCTTCGTCAAAAAGCTACAGCAAACGAATTCAACTTCGGTATATCATGTGAGACTAGACAGTCAGTTCAACTTACCAGATACAAATATTTACATGTTTCACTTAAGAAAAAACTTTCCATTCGATCTTCCAATGTTTTATCATTTAGATCGTGTACGGTTGCATATCCACATCTATAAGCGAAGAAATAAGTATCCATCACAGTTGCAGACTTATTACATTGACAATTACTTACTCGACTTTTGTGTAGTAGTTCAAATTTTCTATTATATCACGATCAACATGCAAATAAAATGGATTTTTTGTTGCTTGAAAAAGAAAATATGTTGCTTCTACAAATTCTGGTCTCAATGGATAAAAATTACCATCAGGCATGTTCACATGCCAGTTGAACCTTTCTGGTAAAACACCAAATTTTCTCCAAATACTGTAATACACAGCATGCATACAAATAGCTTCGTTAATACCGCCACGTAGTACCTAAAATCAGATCATATTATCATGTTCCAAATTCAACATACAACGCAAAAAACCACCAGGACTATTTCAACCAACTGAACCACCCGATGAAGTATTTCAAGTGCTTGGAATTGACTTGTGGGGTCCTGATCCCGAATCATCTGTTGGTAATAAATATGTGCTCGTCATCACTGATCGCTTATCTGGATATGTCATAGCTAAAGCATCTCGGACCAATACTGCACAAGCAACAGCTGAAATATTGATGGAACATATG